TATAAAATAATCTGTAATTTCAATTATTTCATTGCTCTATCTTGAATTTTATTTTCAAATATATAAAAAAAATTTCTAAATGAGTATTTGCTTAAAATTGCTGATACTCATAAAAATACAAAATATAAAGCATTCGCCAGTTACATAAAGATTCTGATTTTAAATGATACAAAAACAGCATTAAATCCATGAAAACAACATACTCCATTTCTTTTAAATAACTTGTCATTATACTGACAAGCAAGACATGATCTTTTACATCCAAAATGTAAATGATCATAATAAAACAAAGGTCAAACATCTTTCTATATATCTATTTAAAAATATAAGCCAGCAATATCATGTAATAAATGAATACACACCTTTCTTTGGTATATGCCAAAGCAGACACACAAAAGCAAGAAAAAATTTTTGAAATCAGAGTATGAAGGGACTCTGCCTTTTCAAACAATGCAGCACTGAAAGCCAGGTCAGCATCCTTGGGCATTACTAAGAAACTTTAGCACATCTGATATTTCCATCATCTTCAAGACTCCTCTGAACAATCAGAAATTTTCCCAGTCTCCCTCTACCTCACCTGTCCAGATTTCCTTTAGCTTTCCTCTCTCTATTGTGTCATAACGCTGTTGCAGTTATTTAGGCTTTAAATGTTCAGAGATACAACCCCCTCTCTACATATTAATTCAGTTCATTTTCTCACAGACACTGACTCAGCCGTGGGTTGTGCAGCACTGACGTTTCTAACCAAACAGCATCGTGTGAGCTGTGATCGTCCCATTTCTCCATTTCTGTGCAGTGATTGGATATTGTAAACTGATAGACAGGCTGAAGAAAACTCAGGAGAGTAGGGCTTAGAGATATGTAGATATGTTGCCAAATGCCATCTGTAAAGCTAATTCTAGCTCTGCCAGCTTGCCAAGGTTTTAAAAAAACTAGGATGCAGTTAACTTTCTTTTTTCCTTTCAGTATTTTATTATGTACCATTCTGAGCAGTAAAAATTCTTTAAATTAAAAAAATATATATTTATATTTTAAGAATTCACTCAAGGAGTTCTCTTTACAGCAAACTTCATTTCTAAACTGCTGCTTGGACTGTGAAGTGACTGAAAAGGGAAACTAGAAGCTCAATTTTCATGCAGTCTCAGAAAAAAATGAGCATGCGTACTTCTGTGGGAATGAAACCTTGCGGCAAAGTCTGATATTGAATGTATGATGCATTTATCTTTAGTAACCTGAGCAGATTGCAGATCTGAGTTTTAAATAGTTGTATTCAACCCAATTCAAATATTCAGAAGCTTTTATTTAGTATGTTGCCAATCTAGGCATTTTAATGAAACAAACAGAAAAGGTGCTTTTTCCTACATTAATTAGAAAGAACTCATCTAATATAAAAAGTTGTCACAATTCAGGTTAAATAAACTTCAACTGAAATGATCTTTAACTTCTTGCAAATTACCAAACCCTTTTACATAGATATTCTATACAATTACTCAGGGAAAAAAAGAAAGGTTCAGTAATTTTTGAACTACCTAATTCTTTATATGTACTTGCAGAGGAACACAAGCAGCACACTGAAGTTCATCCATGGTCAGATTTCTGTCTCATCTTTAGATCCTATCAAAACTACATTCAAAAGAAAGTATTTGAAGTTGTATCAGATGGGAGAGAAATTATGCCATGTCCTCCAACCCCTCAAACTTCAAAGATAAGCATACACATGGTAAATATTGTTATTTTATAATTCAAGACATTAATCTTTATCCTTTGTCAATAAAAGTATGTGGGGAAGACTAAAAAGGACTTAATAAAAGGCTATTCTGAAATACAAATTTGAACTTTTTATATTATCTGCAAAAGTTGAATCAAAGCATGCTTATTTCTACACTGCTTTCTGTGTCCCCCCTCTCAAACTCATATGGCAAAATATATTGTACTGGTATAATGGTATTTGAATATGAAAAGGCGATTAGATCATGAGAATAGAGAGAACTACCCAGCTCCTTCTACTACATACAATGACACAACAAAAACAAGATTATCTGAATCAGGGAGACATTGATCATCATGTACTAAAACATGCCACCTACCTTGATCCTGGACTTCACAGCCTTCAGAACCATGTGACATATTTCTGTTGTTTACAAACCACTTAGTCTATGGTTACCTGAAGAGACTAAGATACTTACTTTCTATTTAAATCAGTTCTGCCTGAGGTGGCAATGTGCCACCTATATTTCTTAACCTTCCTAATCCAGAGATGATTGAGACATAGTGCCAGCGTAACTTATAAGCAGATGTCTGATGGAAATTTCTGTGACATTTAATTTCCTGATATAAATGAAGTCTTTTCCCAATGTTCCCTTCTCTCTTCCTCCTCCTCCTTGGCTTGGAAGTGGACAAGGCAACTGGAGTTACAATAGCCATCTTATGACCGTGAAGAGAAATTGAGGTTTTTGACCCTAACATTCTGAACTCACTAAATATATATAAGGCATTGCTTATCTATGGACTTTTTGTGTACAAGAAATAATAAGTCCCTAACAAACCAGTAATTAATCTGATTTTCTTTTGCGTAAACCTCATTAAATACACAAGATTCAGAAACAGGATGAGATTATGTAGAAGCATAAATGAAACAAAATCAGCCATGAGTTGATAATGTGAAACTGGGAGATGAGTGAAAGTTCATTATACCTATTCTACTTAAAGCACTGTCAGTTATCTAAACTTTTTTAAATAAAAAGAATGAGAAACTTGTTTATCAATCCTAGCTCAGCCGTTTACCAGTTGGATAGCTTCAGGAAGCTTTATTACCCTTGTTTTATTTCACCTGCCAAGTGAGGAAGGTAACACAGCTCTATTAAACAAGATAATCTCTCCAGAAGGCACCTGGTAGGAACATCTCCATCTACCTAGATATCCAAGATTAGTTCTAGTCCCATTTTTCATCTGCTCAAATTGATACTGATGCCTCCCCTACACTCTTATTTTACTACAACTCACTATTACAGTTTAATGTCCTACCTGTATATACACATGTCCTATATCTGATTATTAAAGCATTCCATTATGGTACTGAGACACCTGAATCTCTCCTAAACTGAATGCTGGTCCTCAAGCTTATGGTTTGACAGTAAATTAAAAGTTTTTTTTTTTAAACTATGAATTCAAAAATTATAATTAAAAAAAGTAAAATGGGCCCTCCCTGGTGGCGCAGTGGGTTAAAGCACAGCACTAAGAAGCTTAAGCCACTTCTGCATGAGTTCGATTCCTGCCTGCCCCAGAGGTGACCACATGGCGTGGCAGGCCTCTCCTGACCCGCCCGCTGCTCCCCTCAGCAGTGTACTTCGTCGATCTGCCTGTTCTGTTCCCCGCTCTGTCTCTGGTGAAGCCTCTCACCACCCCTGAGCTTCTGGCCTGTACCCCAGTTTTGTATGAATAAATAGATAAATCTTAAAAAAAGGTAAAATGTATTTTTTAAAATATTGTTAAATTTATGCTCCTAGATATACAAGAACAAAAGGTCCTAAAAGTAGCTGTTTTTCTTTTAAAGTCAACTCAAAGGATTTCATTAAAAGAACATTGTGTATGTGTATATATCCACACATACTGAATGTATTACTGTTACTACTTATTTTCTATTTGTCTGTAATGTTTTTCACTTAACCAGTCAATATTGCTGCAATCTACCTTGAAAACAGCACCCAAAAGTTACTGATACTATCAGGAATAGCTATGGTAGTTGCTACTGAAATGAAATACCAGTAATGAAAAAGTATTGTTATTTTTATAAAATAAACAAATTTATTTTTACCCTGTCAACACATAACGCAGTATTGCATATCAGCAGAAAAACATTAAGAACTAGAAAAGATAACATATAATTCACCTAAAAAAAAAAAAAAACCATTCCACATAGCAGATTATCTAGTCCCATTCACCTTTTTAATCTCAAAGATAAAATAATTATTCATATAAATGGGATGAAAAAAGAACTAGAGTTGAACACACATGTACACCAAAAATTGGGGGAAAAAAAATAAAAAAGCACTCATATCATGAAAATTAATGAAGTCAAGTTTAATATTTTCACCTTAGACCACATCATATTATAAGTCTTCCAAAAAGGCATACATCTTACCAGGAAACTTAAAAAGTACCAGTCACTCATTTTTCTATCTATAGCATATGGCTTTAAAGTGCCCAAAATTGAAATTTTACAAAGGACTTTATTATCATGGCATGTTTTTATCTTTTTTCAAGAAAGCTAGTATTGGTGATCAGGAGAATTTTATATTCAAGTAAATTAAATGTTCAATAATAGCTCATAAGTAAATATTCAAAAATACAATACTCTATAAAAACATGCTTACATACCTGTATGTGAGGTGTATGAATTGTCAATATCGTAAAATATCAGATCATAAAATAGTTCTAAATAAGTACCACATTAAGTCACACAGAACAAAATAAAAACTTTAAAAGTAATAAAGAAGATGAAACTTTTGAAGTTCGTTTCATTTACTGCATTAGAATTTAAATGTGCCATTGCAGAAAAACTGATTTTCCTAGTAGGGTGAGAATGACAGCACAAATACAAATAAATTTACAGTTAAAAATGCACAGATACAAAGATTGACATTAGCCTATAATTATCACGTATAGCTCTACATACAATGTATTTAAGAGCACCATGTAAATTCCTATTTAGGGTTTTAAACAAACAATTAACTTGTCTTGCCAGACTTCTCAATTAAAATAACCACAGTATTTATTCAGAGTCAACTAAGGAGATTTTAACTTTATTTAGAAATAAAAATTCAAATTAAAAGGAAAGAGGTATTTCTCTAGAAGTCATTTAAGCAGATATAAAAACATGTTATTAATTTTTAGAGCCACCCCCATCTACTGACAGGACTTTCCAACCCAACACAGTTTGACACGAATATAAATCAATTTATCAGAGTCTTGATATGTGAAATACATAATTTTCGACCTACCTTGAATGTTTATAAAGTTTACGAGGTCTACTATGCAATTTCCGTTCCCAATTCTCTGGATCACTGGAGTTACTGTCATAAGGATGAGGCCGTCCTGCCATCCCACTTCAAGCTTCCTTACACTAGAGCTCTGAAAGCATACATGTAGCACCCATAACCTACATAAAAGAGTAGTGTTGACCTTTAATTCTATTCCATGTAGAATAAAAGTCAGAATTTTACATACTTTCTGATAGTATTGTGACAGTTTTTACAGTGATGAATATAGGATCATAAGATACTAGGCATACAAAAGTCACATATTAGATTAAAATAAATACCAAAAGTATTTTTAAGTACTTTTCATTCTATTCATCTACTAAATTATTCATTAATGTGTAATTATATATTACTAAGTTAATATATAACTTAGTAAAGATACGTGTCATCTAGGTGCCTCATGTTTCCAAACATCAACATAGTACCAAAAATGACAAATTTCATAGAATATTCTTTCAAACAAAATTTCACTTGCATTTCCTAAATGCATTTCCTACTAAAAGTTTAAGATGCTTAACAAAGCATCCAGTAAGAGTAACAATATTTCTTTAACCAAGTTAGAGATCCTAAATTGAAATTTAATTATTTGCTCAAAAGTAAAAATATATAAAACATCCTGGTAGTCCCTCTAGTGTAGTTAACACAAAAATAGCTTATCAATGATTCATATACTATATGCCTTTTCATATGAGTCTTGTGATTTTTCTACTACTCTCATGAAATTAAAGAAAATTCCCTAACAAAATAGCTTTACAGAATACCTGAAAATAAACTTAATATTCACTAACCAATTTAATGTTCCCAATCACCTTACAAGGTAGACATTATAATGCCCATAGAATTAAAACATCTCAGAAGTTTAGTAATTTTGCCAAAAATCATAATGCTGGTGGCCCTCCCTAGTGGTGTAACGGGTTAACACACAGCACTTAGTTAAAGCACAGTAATTAGGCACTACAGTACAAATTTGATCCCCAGCCAGGGAGGTGACCCGCCTGCTGATACCCTCTGCAGTGTATTTCAGTACATCTGCTTGTTCTGCTCCCCACTGTCTCTGGTGAATCCTCTCAAACACACCCTACACATTTCTGGCCTGTACCCCAGTTCTGTATGCATAAATAAATAAATCTTTAAAAAAAAACATAATGCTGGTAAATGTCAGGATTTTAAAGAACAATGAAAATTAACTATGTGGAATAAATCCTTGATCTTAAAAAAAAAAAAAAAGCTCAGATGTATTCTGTTGGGAAAAGTCAGATCTGATTTTATCAAACACACACCAAGTGAGGTTAAAGAATTTGAACAAATTATGTAAGTTGGACTAGAACCCAAGTTTCCTGAAACCCACTTTCCTGTATTCTTTCTATATACATGTCCAAGCTGGATTGAATAAAGGGACATAAAGAAGGGTTGTGATTAAAAGGAATTCAGAATTGGGTAAAGAAGACACAGTACTGAATTTGACAAGGTATATTAATACAATTTTACAAAAGAACAAACAAAAAAACAAAGTCATTGAAACTGGGAACAGTTTCATTTTAAAGAAATTGTCCTATTTTATTATTTTCTCTTCCAAGTTACTTAGTACTTTTTTCTATAAACTACTGAAAATCTTATAGTATACATTTTAATGTAATAAAATAATTAGATAGGTCAATGAGTGAAATAATAGTAAGAGGAGGGGGAGAATTGCACAAAGGTTAATTCAATTTGTAAGCAAATGTCACAATTTAGTCTCTGAAAGCTCCTAAAAAAAGAAACCTAGACTTAAGAATTACCGAAGGGTTGAAAAATCAGTTATTAGATGAACAGGAAAACCATAACCTTACCTTGAAAATAAAAAAATAAAATAAAAAAAAACTCAATCTCACTTGAGTTTTTAATTATAAAAGTGAAAACAGATTCACTGAAAGTTACCAAAACTTATATAGTTTAAAATTACAGCTAGTCATCTATACATTGGTGAAAAGAGAAAGGACAATAAAGAAAAAAAAGATACAAAGAAGTTAGGTCAAACGGAAAAATGTAGTCAGAGAAACACGAAAGGTAAACTAGTATTAGAGCAAAAATGATAAAATGGGAAAGGAAAAGGCCTAGCAGGTTCTGTAGAATGAGAATTAGAGCATTTTCTCCTTATGTCAATGCTGTCCAGTTGATGGAAGCTTAGAGTAGAAAAATTTAGATGGAAAGGCTCACAAAGACAAGAATGAACCAGAAGTAGGAATTTTGATTAACCAGTTGTTAAACCAGCTATGGAATTTTCCAGAAATCTGAGGTAAGTAGGGTCAGAAAGGATTATCAGTTACAGAAAACCAACCCAACCTGACCCCAAAGAGATAACATTCCACAAATGAATGAATGCCATCCCCGACAGCACCCACCACACTGTAAAAGAAAACCCCTTGCGCTGGCAAAAAGCAACTCTCTACTGCCTGTGTCTACAAAAGTGCTGCTCACGGACCCCCACCCCGCCCCTTTTTCTCTTTTTCCTAAAGTAAAAAGCTTTAAAATGCAGCTGCAGCTTTGCCTGTTTCTATGCAAGTGTCCTCTTCCTTAATAAACTCCTGGTATGCCACTAAAAGGGAAATTGTCAAAATTGTTCTTAGAGGGACCCAAGACCTCCACACACCAAAACCCAATACTTGAACTCCAACACAGTAAGCAGTTTCAGGCCTTAACATTTCTTTCTAAGAGCATTTTATTCTTCCTTACCCTTCACTATAGCATAATCCCCTCTAGATAGATCAGCAGCAAGTTCCCCAAGGAGAGCAAGATCCTAAACTATGGGAAGCAATGACCAAAAACTCCTCAACCACCAGGAATGGATGGTGTAAATTCAAGTCACATCTTCCAACATTTTACAGTGGGTTATCATGTCTCTAGCAAGGGAGAAATACCCTTATGTCTTCCCAAGCAAGCCTACTGAAATTAACAAGCTTGTAATTTACAGCCAGCCAACAAGAAAGAAAAGAATGTTCAGATGAAGGTTAACAAATTTGGAAAATCTGATTTTCATCAATACAACTTGAGGATCACCATGTGAAAGATTTCTTCTCAGTCCTAATAGAGATACGAGCATGAAATATTTGGAAAAATATGCTTGTACTTGTCTACATATGCTGGCATATTTCTTAATGTTATCAATAAGCTGTAGATAGAAGAAAACATCTATACATAGATAAGAAAAACATTTTAACCTATTTTGAAATGTCTATTGATTACTTTCCATCTCTGCACTGTAATTGGTGCCATTATATTTATCCTATTTCATCATGCATACACCTATTCAAGGCTTTACTTAACATATACAATATGCAAAGCAATTTATAAGATGCTAAACCAAGTCAGACATCTTTCCTATGCTCAAAAAACTCACCCTAGTAAAGGAGCCACTAATGGCTCCATAAGCCACATCTACATTTCTCTCAAAACTAGTTGTACTTTTACCACCCCACCCTGCAACCATTGAACTTTGAATGTTTTTGAGGATTTCACCTTCAACTCTCTTTGACTGCTGGATTCAGACATATTCTTCCTTACCCTTCAAACTGGAATCAACTGGAATCAAACCCTTGAGAACATCAGGATTTACATACTATAGGCACTCTATTTTTACTATCTATCTGAATTCTTCATAAATATACCATATTCATTCTTGGCCTCCCACCATTAGCTAGTGACATCTCTATTCACTACATCAAAAACATTTAAGCCTTTCTTGACATCTCATTTTCCTAAATGAAGTCTACTTCAAACTTTTCTTCTGACTCCTTCTCTCCCTTTCACTCATAAGGTTGCTGTCTCCGTTTAAACTATTAACATCTATCAAGAAGCCTCCTTGTTGAGGTTTTCTATGATCTGGGCAGACTGGCAAAGGAGTAATCCTGGAGCTCTTGCAGGACTTTTACAGGCTTTTGATGTTCTTTCTACACCATTTGTAGTGAGATAACCAGGTATAGGGCGGGCAGGCCTCCCAACTCCCAGTGACTCTTCATTCTCTCTGAGCTCCCTGTGTCCATTTGTGGTCTCTCCTGCTCTCTGCGACATGGTCTGCTGCTGCCCTTCTATGTCTCTTGGCTTGCATTTGCCCATTCATGCACGCCCTCACCACACTCCAGGTGTCACTATCAAGCACACGTGTTAGACCACAGGTGTTGATCATAGCTACTAATGGCGGAAGGGCAGAAAAAACACAATCACTTCCATTTATCCTACAACCAGTTTATCTACTCCACTATAATCAGAATTATCTTCCCAAAATTTTTTATAGCTCACCATTCCTTGTATCGAAACTTCTTACCATAAATAATTCCTTCATAAACTGACACCTGTGATACCCAATGTCAATTTTAAATTAGAAAAATCAAATTTTAATGCTGTTTGAATCTTGTAATCATCAAAAAATTATTACTGGGCTAACAGAAACAAAATTCTCAGAAAACATCACACAGTTCATTACAGTTTTCTATTAATCTAAATCCTCCATATTTTGGAAATAAACTATAAACACTAGAACAACTAGTCCTGTTGGCTAGGGACAGGCATTCAGGAAACTAAAGTCAACTGAGAAAATGTAATTCGATTACTTCCCCTTCTCTTAGATACTACTACCAAAAAGGGGGGATGGGGTGGCAGGAGACTACAGCCACCCAAACAAGTACACCCTAGGATTCTATTTCCAGGTAGTATTAATTAAAGGCAATGACCCTTACAATGTAGCAGTGCTCTAGAAAGTTACATACTTTCTCCAATTTGAACTCAAAGCAAGCAAATTTATTATTACAAATTTTCCCATTATCCAAAAGTAGAGCATTTCTATAAAAACTTTCATAAGCCAAAATGATATAAAGGACAAAAGTAATTGCCATTAATTTATGTAAAAAAAAAATTTAAGCATTCCCAGACCCCAAATATAAAACATCGAATCACACTAAATAACACACAAAACCTTAAGTAACATTAACATATAGTTAAAGTAGGAATAATATGATAAATACACAGACTGCATAAAATAGTCTCCACTGATGGAGCTTGGTGGTGCCACTGTTGCTACTAGCATTTTAAGTCGGGGGGGCAGGGAGGGAAGGTCATGCAAACATTTGATTTTCTGATTTATACC